TACTGTGATTGCATATACAAGGGAAAACAGGTTTGCAGCAGTACATGTATGCAAAAATTAACAACATAAGGTGACATAAAGTCAGGGGGTGTGGCTGACAGGACAAAATACATCTGACAAAGGTAATCATGTATACAGGGACATTTCTTTTCATTCCCCCCAGAAGGCTGAGACACAAAGAACATAAGGACCTATACCGACTGTATATTCAGAAACCCATCAAAATGATCAAGTATGTCAGATCCAAAGCTGGTGATGATCTGCATTTATTTGAAATTTTGTACATTACATTGACTGAAGACGAAAACCTGTTGATCACATTTCACAATGGTTCATGTTCCTTTGGGGGACATGCATGAGTGTCACTGTCAAGCACACGAGAGCATACTGCATCAAACATGGAAAGTCCTGCCACACTAATTATTATTTTATTGGTGAGAACCCTGAAAAAATACATAAGGTAGGATATTTCCATGTACTTTTCTCCAACAGAACAGAACTGCAAGAATTGTCAATGTACGTATATGTGCCCTATTCCTTTTTCAAAAGATAACATTCTCTTACAAATATATATATGCTAACTCAGCAGCTTAAGTGCCCCCTGGTTCTTGTGATTAAACAAACAAAAATATCATGTTCTGTTTCAAGAAATTAATGTATTTGTATAATATGGCTGTTGTGCAAGCTTGAAGGATATGGTATATTATGGCTGTTGTGCAAGCTTGAAGGATATGGTATATTATGGCTGTTGTGCAAGCTTAAAGGATATGGTATATTATGGCTGTTGTGCAAGCTTAAAGGATATGGTATATTATGGCTGTTGTGCAAGCTTAAAGGATATGGTATATTATGGCTGTTGTGCAAGCTTAAAGGATATGGTATATTATGGCTGTTGTGCAAACTTAAAGGATATGGTATATTATGGCTGTTGTGCAAGCTTAAATGATATGGTATACTATGGCTGTTGTGCAAACTTGAAGGATATGGTATACTATGGCTGTTTTGCAAACTTAAAGGATATGGTATACTATGGCTGTTGTGCAAACTTAAAGGATATGGTATACTATGGCTGTTTCGCAAACTTGAAGGATATGGTATACTATGGCTGTTTTGCAAACTTAAAGGATATGGTATACTATGGCTGTTGTGCAAACTTAAAGGATATGGTATACTATGGCTGTTTTGCAAACTTAAAGGGTATGGTATACTATGGCTGTTTCGCAAACTTAAAGGATATGGTATACTATGGCTGTTTCGCAAACTTAAAGGATATGGTATACTATGGCTGTTTCGCAAACTTAAAGGATATGGTATATTATGGCTGTTGTGCAAACTTAAAGGATATAGTATACTATGGCTGTTGTGCAAACTTAAAGGATATGGTATATTATGGCTGTTGTGCAAACTTAAAGGATATGGTATATTATGGCTGTTGTGCAAACTTAAAGGATATGGTATACTATGGCTGTTTCGCAAACTTAAAGGATATGGTATACTATGGCTGTTTCGCAAACTTGAAGGATATGGTATACTATGGCTGTTGTGCAAACTTAAAGGATATGGTATATTATGGCTGTTGTGCAAACTTAAAGGATATGGTATACTATGGCTGTTGTGCAAACTTGAAGGATATGGTATACTATGGCTGTTTTGCAAACTTAAAGGATATGGTATATTATGGCTGTTGTGCAAACTTAAAGGATATCGTATACTATGGCTGTTGTGCAAACTTAAAGGATATGGTATATTATGGCTGTTGTGCAAACTTAAAGGATATGGTATATTATGGCTGTTGTGCAAACTTAAAGGATATGGTATATTATGGCTGTTGTGCAAACTTAAAGGATATGGTATATTATGGCTGTTGTGCAAACTTAAAGGATATCGTATACTATGGCTGTTTCGCAAACTTAAAGGATATGGTATACTATGGCTGTTTTGCAAACTTAAAGGATATGGTATATTATGGCTGTTGTGCAAGCTTAAAGGATATGGTATATTATGGCTGTTGTGCAAACTTAAAGGATATGGTATATTATGGCTGTTGTGCAAACTTAAAGGATATCGTATACTATGGCTGTTTCGCAAACTTAAAGGATATGGTATACTATGGCTGTTTTGCAAACTTAAAGGATATGGTATATTATGGCTGTTGTGCAAGCTTAAAGGATATGGTATATTATGGCTGTTTCGCAAACTTAAAGGATATGGTATGTTATCCTTTAAGTTATCTCATATCAAGAAAGTAATTGGACATATACTTTAAAACTACTTTTTCAATTATCGTGCAAACAATTAGCGACACTGGACGATAGTTAGACGCAAGCGTTCTGTTACCTTTCTTGTTAAGTGACATTACAATGGCCTCTTTCCACATGGAGCATACAGACCAGTTGACACTGATTTACTAAACAATAGACAAAATGGTTTGCTGATTGAATCTGTAATACATATTAATAATTTGTGTCCCACGTGTCTTGTTTACATGGAGACTCTTGATTACATCAGATATGTCTGTTTCTGTAACACAAATTCTTCTTAAGAAACTTGACGTGCGTGGTTCAAAGTCCACAGAATCCCATGCGTGTCTCCCTTTGCGGATTGATGAGCAGGACAGGTTCCCAACACGCCATCCATGTCTCACTTTGGGGATTCCTGCACAGGATAGGTCCCCAATCCGCCATGCTTAGCTCACCGTGGGAGTTTCTTGGCAGGATAGGTCCCCAATACGCCATGCTTAGCTCCCCGTGGGAGCTCCTTGGCAGGATAGGTCCCCAATACGCCATGCTTAGCTCCCCGTGGGAGCTCCTTGGCAGGATAGGTCCCCAATACGCCATGCTTAGCTCCCCGTGGGAGCTCCTGGGCAGGATAGGTCCCCAATACGCCATGCTTAGCTCCCCGTGGGAGCGTCTTGGCAGGATAGGTCCCCAATACGCCATGCTTAGCTCCCCGTGGGAGCTCCTGGGCAGGATAGGTCCCCAATACGCCATGCTTAGCTCCCCGTGGGAGCTCCTGGGCAGGATAGGTCCCCAATACGCCATGCTTAGCTCCCCGTGGGAATTCCTGGGCAGGATAGGTCCCCAATACGCCATGCTTAGCTCCCCGTGGGAGCTCCTGGGCAGGATAGGTCCCCAATACGCCATGCTTAGCTCCCCGTGGGAATTCCTGGGCAGGATAGGTCCCCAATACGCCATGCTTAGCTCCCCGTGGGAGATCCTGGGCAGGATAGGTCCCCAATACGCCATGCTTAACTCCCCGTGGGAGCTCCTGGGCAGGATAGGTCCCCTGTACGCCATGCTTAGCTCCCCGTGGGAATTCCTGGGCAGGATAGGTCCCCAATACGCCATGCTTAGCTCCCCGTGGGAGCTCCTGGGCAGGATAGGTCCCCAATACGCCATGCTTAGCTCCCCGTGGGAGCTCCTGGGCAGGATAGGTCCCCAATACGCCATGCTTAGCTCCCCGTGGGAATTCCTGGGCAGGATAGGTCCCCAATACGCCATGCTTAGCTCCCCGTGGGAGCTCCTGGGCAGGATAGGTCCCCAATACGCCATGCTTAGCTCCCCGTGGGAGCTCCTGGGCAGGATAGGTCCCCAATACGCCATGCTTAGCTCCCCGTGGGAATTCCTGGGAAGGATAGGTCCCCAATACGCCATGCTTAGCTCCCCGTGGGAGCTCCTGGGCAGGATAGGTCCCCAATACGCCATGCTTAGCTCCCCGTGGGAGCTCCTTGGCAGGATAGGTCCCCAATACGCCATGCTTAACTCCCCGTGGTAATTCCTGGGCAGGATAGGTCCTAAATATGCCATGCTTGTAAGAGCTGGTGAAAGACCCCACAACCTTTGACTTTGTACATGCTTACAGCCACATTTCTTTCATTCTGTTACCTAGTCTGCCTTTTACTTCTGAACCTGAATTTCCCTTTTACCCAAAATGGAATGTGATTACACAGATATTCTCCGGCGTTGACGTCTTCAATTTACATTCATACGATCCTTTAAGCCATATGTAGACCATTATGTGACCAGTACTTTAACTCACTGAGGTCAGCTGTCACTGGAGTTTCATAAGCTACCAATTACATGTTCGATGGGGAATATTAGTATTTAGTCAAAGTCTACTAGACTGTGTCAAAAGGTTCATTTATGAAAGGTGTTCTAGGGCTGAAAAATATAACAGTTTTGATTTCTGTGGGCTGCTGTAAATGAGTAGCATGCGTTGTGCGTAGCTTATAGTTTAGCTCACTGAGCCCACTGTATGTGCAGTGAACATGTCTTTATTAATCAGTACTTGATGCCATAACTTTAGAGGAATATATGGAATATGGAATATTTGCCAAAAGCAAAGTCGACGTACGATTCCAAATGAATCATGAGCATATATTAATGAATCCGTCCCCACTGATGGGTCAATGTCTTCCACATGTCTACTGTAACACTTTTGAAAGCCTTAATCAGGCCTTGAATGATGTAACCCTGATCAAACAACTTTTGATAAGTCATATTACTCTATTTGGAATCTTCGTAGAAGGAGCATGCTTCACTATACCTCAAAAAGCTGGAATATTGCTCGGAATAAAGAAGAATTGATATACCTGAATTTCTCATTTGCATAAAGAAATAGTAAGGAGGGGAGCAGGATTGGTGCCCATGGGGATGGGTAATTCTTGTCTAAATGTCATGTCCCAAAATTTCAAAAGTCCATCATTTCACATTTTGTTTTCTCACTTAATTCAAAGTGACATTCGCTTTCAATTTTGACAAATTGTCCTGACCTTTTACAGATAGTGGTGTAACGATATCTATGGTCACCACGTTAAGTGACAAATGCTTTCCTTAATACACATTATTGTGCTGTTATTTACTGTGTCAGGTTTTCTTTGAAAGCATGCATGTTGGCATGGACAAAGACGTGTCAAGGGTCAAACTGCAAAGACATTTCACATTTGAACTTTTTGTTCAATATAAATATACAAAAATATACTGTTGCATGTTCTTCAGGAACGTTCCTTATTTTCAGAGATCATGGCTGCATTACCATGTCAGTCAGTGACTGATTCTCTGCAAGATGACTTCCTGACCTGTGGTATCTGCCTCGAGGTGTTCACAGATCCCAGAATCCTGCCTTGCCTCCATACTTTTTGTTTCAAGTGCCTATGCATCCATACTAAATCTTTGAAGTCTTCTCACAGACCCCTGCTCTGTCCAGAGTGCCGTGAACCCTTTCCTGAAGAAAACGGTTTTGCAAAAAGCAACTATTTTATTAATGGCCTCACAGAGTTAGTGAAATGTAGAACTTCCACAGTGTGTAAATGCACCCCTTGCAGTCTGCGTGACAAAACCTCCAGAGCAGAGAGAAAATGTCTCGACTGTGGCGATTTCCTTTGTTCAGCTTGCTCTCTAGGTCACAATGCTTCCTCGCAAACACTGGGACACCAGATTGTTACTCTCGTCGACCTACAAGAAGGAAAACACGATACAAGGCTCAGAGAGTTGCAGAAAGTCATGTGCCAGCAGCACCAGGACAAGCATGTGGAATACTTCTGTCAAACCTGCTCTCAGCCTCATTGTATATCCTGTGTTCTGATCAGCCACAGGGACCACCGCATGCAGCCGATCGCAGAAGCTGTACAGTGCATTAGGTCCGTGATTAAGGAAAAGGTTCAAGCTGTTCATGAAGATTTTCAGGAGATTTCAAAACAAGAAAATGAACTGTTATCTTTGAACAATGATCTCGAATCGAAGAAAGAAATAAAGGAACGACTTATTAAACAAAATGCAAAACGTGAGATTGACGAAGTACATTCAAGGAAAAGTGTTTCATTGAAAAAGCTGACAGATGAAATGGAAGCTGACCAGAAGGAACAGGAAACCATGCTGCAGAAAGTGTTGCAACAGAAGGGTGTGATGGGCAGCTGCGTGGACTTCTGTGACCACATCCTGGAGAAGGCCAAAGATGCTGAGTTGATGATGATGGAACCCATGGTGACTAGGAGGCTGCAACAACTTAAAGACCAAAGGTTGCTTTCTGAGAACATTCTTCAACAGGATGACAGGATGGTCGAAAATGATGAGGCTTACACGAACAAACAAGTAACCAGTTACCTGAAGTCAGAAGAGACGCATGATGGCAATCATAATTCTCAAACTGCTGTTCGTGGTCAACTTGAATCGAAAGGCACTGCAAAAAAGAGCGTGCTCAAATTTCAGAGAAAGTTTAATACAAGAAATAAATCTGATTTGAAGATGCCTGACATCAAAGGAATGGCATATGGTTTAAATATTGGACTTGTCCTGTCAGACTTAGCCAATAAAAAAATAAAAGTCTTCAATTCCAATGGGGAATTACGTCGAGAAATCACGTGTGACATGTTTGAACCATTTGATGTTGCTGTTGCCGGTAACATCATTGGATCTGTCAGTGAGAATTTCCTACTCATCTTCACATCAGAAGGTAGAATGAAGACCAGAATACAGTTGAATAAAAATAAAACATATGAAAGTCTTCCCTTCACTTACAGTCTCGCTGCAGCAGAACACGTGGGATTCGTGGTTGGTAATACTCCTGGTGACAACAGACTCCGGCTGTATGGCCTGGACGGCACCTTCACCAGGTACGTCAACTGCCGCACGAGACCTCCCCTCGCATCTCTCTCAGTCACTCCAGCAGGGGACGTAGTCATCAGTGAATGGGGAAGTGGCAGTCTGAGATTACTGTCTAAGGAAGGTCTTGACAAATGGCGGAGTGAGAAATATGAATCTGGTTGGAACCCAAATGGAAACTGTGTCTCTACTCATGGAACTATTTTTGTAGCGGATTATGACTGGGGTGGTGTGTGCGTCTACAGCCCTGATGGTACAAACACTATAGATCACAGCACTGCGTGTGATGGCTTAATGAATCCATCTTATGTAGCTGTTGATGAAGATGGGCTCCTGTTTGTTAGTGATAAGAAGGGAATTGTGAATGTTTATCGAATATGAATCTTGTTGCTGTATCTCTGATATGTGTTTCAAGTGGTTGCAAGGGAAGAAAGATATTTAAAATGTGTAATTGTAGAATATGTACTCTCCCGAAAGGTAAGGGATATTCGAAAATAACAGAAGATTACAGAAATACAAAGAAATATCGAGTGATGGAAATGAATGGATAAGAAAACGGAAGGGCTAGGTGTAACATGACAATCAGCAGAACATGACGGTGTAGTGTAAGGATGCAAACAACCAAGGAAGACGACAGGGGTGTGCAGTAAAACAGTGAACGTTTGAGGTGACTCATGTCCAAACGATTGGTACAAAAATGCTTTAAAATGCGTGGCACGGTCCGATTCAATCTACCAGTGACAATTTGATGGGGTCTTGTCTACTGGCCAAGGTTCCGCTAAGCTAGTATGTGGCCTTTGCCGTCGGCGCATACGCCTCCCGATCAAGTCCCAGACGTGCTCCATGGGGGAAAGTTCAGGCCATTGCATTCTAGTAATGCCAGGTGGCCAGTTAAGTGAACTAAATGATGTTATCAGCTTGAAAGAACAAACACGGATCCGGACTAGCGCCAGTGTGTTGTCTCGTTAGTACTGTCCATTGACCCTTCCGCGAACAACATGCAGTAGCGTTCTGGCAGTCACAGTGATCATATAGTGTTGGTGGTGGTTCAACATGTGGTCACGGAGCATGCAGATTAGCTGCATGAAGGCGATTTCTAATCGTCCGTTTAGTAACTCTGGTGGCCTGGCGCAAGTGAACAGTGATTTAACTGGCTGTTTGGGCTCGATTCTTGAAGCATGGTTTGTGAATAATCGATCCTGGACTTGTGATGTTGACTTAAGACGCCTTTGCGAGGCCCATCTTTGACCTTCTGTGTCTGAAGAAGCCTACCCAAAAGTGTGCAATTCACAGACTGAGAACATTGAACATAGTGATACCAGTTCTACCAGTTTGAAGTATGCCAATAGCCCTAAGGCGTTCATTTCGTTATGGAAGACACTTTCCCAATCTGGTCCCAAAAACTGGATTTCTAAGCTTGTGAGCACCACTCACTCGGTATGAATCACTATCAAATAGTGAGGATACCACATCACTACATGCACAGTTCCATGCACATCTCACGTCACGTGGACTTGCTTCACGTTACACATACGTCACTCCACGTTACACAGATTTGACATTGCACATAACACTCTTCACGTTACACATACGTCACTCCACGTTACACAGATTTGACATTGCACATAACACTCTTCACGTTACACATACGTCACTCCACGTTACACAGATTTGACATTGCACATAACACTCTTCACGTTACACATACTGAACCTCACGTTACACAAAGTTAGCTTCACGTTACAGTACACATGGTGGCAATATGATGACGATGCTTTTCCTTCCGGTTCATCTCATACATATGAACAACTGAACAATGAGAAGAAAATATCTGATAACACCATTAAAATACTAAGATTATTTCTTCGCTTTTGAGCAACAATTTTTATTGCTATTTCACGTGCTGTTCTTATGCAAACTACGTGATTCTTTGTATGACATCATATGAATCAATAGTTAGTACCATCTTGTGTCTCTATTTGTTGAAGCCATCGTGTAGGGTCAGGATATATGGTATCCATTCATACAATTATCACCTCTATTTTGCTTGGAGCCCAATCGAACCTGCTTCGCCGGATAATCAAGACTGATATTCTCCGGCATTGACTTCTTATATTTACTGCTGATGGAGCCTTTGGTCTCAAGTTCTCATAAAAGCGCACAGGTGAAATTTTCAAAGTCGAAATTTAAAAAAGGCCGAGACATATATAATGGGATAACATTTATACTAAGTTATCCTATAATAATTAGATCCACATCAAGTGCTTTTATGAGTTATCATGGTGTAATATTTATACATCATTTCATATAATTATAGTTTAGCAAGTAATATTTATCATCAGGTAAAATGTATATATAAAATATCAGTAGTTTCAGTTATAGCTTTTTAGATAGATGCTAGCCTAAGGTAATGGGAGCGCATCTAGACATACTATTCAATAAGACAAGAGTTACGTCTACATAGTTTAATAGATTAGATGCTTTTAGATAAATGCTAGCCTAAGGTATCAAGATCCCATCTTCCAGACAAAAGATATGTCTACATAGTCTAACAGATTACCTTGAACTATTTTATTTAAGTAAATCTGTCATCACCTATATTAGAATAACATTCAGCAATTTAGACTCATTAAGGATTAGCCCCCATACAAGCTCGTCTTTAGTGCATTAAGGATTAGCCCCCATACAAGCTTGTTTATAGTGCATTAAGGATTAGCCCCAACACAACCTCGTCTATAGTGACACCATAATCTCTTTCCAAAGCATCCAGTAAATATGTCAAACAGATTAGTGCCAGTCCAACAGGATTAACAGGATTAAGTATTCCTCTCTGTCTAGCCATCCATTTAGCATAGGGCACAACCAATCGTGTATCAACCAATCCTATTCCTTTTTATTGTTCAAATCTTTGTTAAATACATACTGTAGCTCAGTTTTAGCAGAGTAGGGGTTTGACTCTCTAACCAAGCAGACCTCTCTCCCGCACCCGAGAGTGTCTACTGACTCTCTGTGGCACAGTTATTATCTAAGTATATTGAAAATTGTTAATTGTTCTTGTAAATAAAATTGTGATTAGTCTCCTGTGACTCTGGCTCTTTGCTGACTAATTCCCCAAGAAAACCAGCACGTCATTTGGAAGGTATTGTTCACCCAGAACAGTTCCATGATACATACCAGGCCTTTCATCTAACACTCCAACTTGAGAGAAAATGCCAACGAAAGTACAAATCACCCTGCACTATAATGTATCATTTATGATAGCTTCAGTTTCATTGGTCCACTCGTTCCAGGAATAATCGCCTTGAGATAGCAGGTGTATAAGGCTGATACAGTGAATCAGATTGGGACAACTGATACTGTGGTGTCAACCTAACCGCGCCCTGTCAGCCTTTGTACTCAAGTATTAATTACACAATTCTATATCGTCGTATGTACCGAGACCGAGCTGAAAGAGAAGTAGGCCAAATAGAGAAGAATCGTTGTGTGCTGCACAATCACATGATCGGCCTGAATCACTTACTTTACTGATGTAAGGCCAAAGTTTGTTTGTTTGTTTCGCACTCATCAATATTCCAGTTATATGACGGCGGTCTGTAAATAATAGTTTGGACTAGACAATCCAGGGATTGACACCATGTGCATCGATCTATGCAAACTATGACATTCATCAACCAAGTCAACAAGCCTGACCACCCGATCCACCATTCATAGAATAGTTGTTTGATCAACATCCAAAACCTTAGTAAACCTTTGAAAATATTTCTAAATGTGACGTATCATTTACAAAAATGATGTCTTATGCAAATCCATGATTTGACTTCTAACATTTGTTCCCGTGCTTTTTCAGGTGAACAATTGATTTGCCTTTGCAGGTGTTTGTGACGGGTGCCACCGTTAGGGCAGGATACTTTCATCTTGTAGCGGACACCTGGTATCATCACTATTTGATAGTGATTCATATACATATACTCATGATGTAGCCAGAATCGTACAATCGACTCTGTTTTGGGCAGATATTACTTATTATCAATGACATATCATATAATGGGTAGGTTTCTCCGCAGGATAAAGCCAACGGATAAAAACGATATCCGTTGGGGTCATATGCGGATAGAGATGCAAATATCAAAGGTCAAGTTGGGACTTCTTTATGTGCTTGTATACCTCTGTGGCTTGGAACCTTTTCCACAAATTAAAATAGTTGTATTTGGCCGAAATATGTTTGAATTGTTACCTTGTCTCGTTTTGTCGCTGTGTGTACATCTGACTGCACTTCGTAAAGTTATGACAGGACAGGCCGACTGTCAACAACGTCTGAACGTGACCGTGACGTCGTATAGACTAGGGTTAGAGAAGCTTCCCTTTGACAAAGGGCAGTTACTCTAGCGGACAGACCGTTGGATTGCCGCGAGAGGCAAGTGAAAACAATTGTTGTTTTGCGTATATGTTGCTTCGCAACTGAAAAAGAACCAAATTTCAGTTTGAACTATATTGGCCACTGTCCGACTAACACATCACTTACCCTGTGACGTAATAAATATTAATGTGCACCTGCAATGTTTCGGTAATGTTTGTGAGAGAGGGAAAGCGATTTTCAAGCACAGAATTAAAGAATGACATAATATGATAAAGAGGTTATCACGCTTGTGTATTTGGGGATGGTACATGTCCTTGTATTAGGAATAAACACTGTATTTAGCTCGCCAAGGCTCGCCAAGTACAATGTTTATTCATAATGCAGGATATGTACCATCCCCAAACACACTCGCGTGATAACCTCTATTGAATGTGTAAAGATCCGCCACGTTATACGAAGGTGGTCGTCCCGAAAACACTGTAGTGTACAAATAGTGCACATAACGTGGCGATTATGTTTCTAGGTTTGTCAGCACCATTACCGTGCTCGTGGGTTTCACCGAAGTCGTAAACGTTTGAGACCGCATCACTTCGGGATTTCATCCCAGATTAAGCTGACACGCCGTGATATAACTGGAATACTGTTAAAAGCGGCATTAAATCCAACGCACTCACTCACTCTCAAAGTAGATGTAAAATGGTTCAATGTGCTTTGTTTGTATTTTAAGCTACCATGGCAGCCTCAGTACCAGATCAATCGGTCGTCAATACACATCGAGATGATTTTCTGACTTGTGGTGTCTGCCTCGAGGTGTTCAAAGATCCCAGAATCCTACCTTGCCTGCATACGTTCTGTTTCAAGTGCATATCCACCTGTATGGAATCATGTCAGTCTGGCAACAGCCCTGCACTCTGCCCCCAGTGTCGGGAACCCTTTCCAGAAGAGACAAGTTGCCTCAACCAAAATGTCTTTATCAGTGGACTCACACGGCTGGTCGAATTTAAGGCAGTGAAGAAGGATGAATGCACACCATGTGGTCTACATAACAGTGTCTCACCAGCATTAAGGAGATGTCTACACTGTGGAGATTACCTCTGTTCCTCCTGTTCTGGTGGGCACACTGCTTCCTCTCTAACACTCCACCACCAGACAGTACCTCTGATAGAAATCAGACAAGGGAAATATGACGCAAAACTTAGACAGTTGCAGAGGATTCCCTGCCAGCACCACAAGGAAAAAGATGTGGTGTACCTTTGTCAATCGTGCTGTCAGCCGGCCTGCATATCATGTGTTGTAATTGGTCACAAGGGTCATACCATTCAACCAATAGCTGAAGCTGCACACCAGCTCCAATCAACAATGAAGTGTTTGGTGGAAACCATTAGAGAAGACATGACAACAATAAAGGTTCAAGAGCAGAATATATTGTCCTTGGTAAAAGCAGGCAAAGCGAAAAAGGAAGCAAAGAAACGTTTAATTGAAGATAACGCTCAACAAGAAATTGCTGTAATAAATGCCAGAAAATGTGAGTTATTGAAAAAAGTTAATGATGACTGGAAATTTGCAGTAAAGGAACAGGAGAGCAAGTTGGAGAAGGTTGTGTGCCAGAAAGCTGTGGCAAGCAGTTGTGTTGACTTCTGTGGGCGCATCCTAGAGAAGGGCAAGGACTATGAAGTGGTGATGCTGGAAACAGTGATCATAGAGAGACTACAGACAATACAGAGCCTGCTGCCTGGGATTAGACCAAACCAGGTTGAGCAAGAAAAGCACTGTCAAGTTGTTTCTCAGATAAGTTCCCCAAAAGGTGGCAAATCATCGGATGTTGTGTTAACTCATGGAACTTCCCAGAAGAGCATATACACCACACCTGCACTGAGAAGTGTCTTCAGTGGGAAGTCAAAACATGATATGAAAAAACCTGACATCAAAGATATGACCTACAGCTCTAGGATCGGACTGATACTCTCAGATAGAGCCAACAAGAAGCTTAAAGTCCTGAACACTCGTGGTGACTTACAGCGAGAAATCATCTTTGAGGGATTTAATCCATTTGCTGTTTCTGCTGCTGGGGATGAGATACGAGCCATCAGTGGAAACTGTCTTTGGTTGATAACAGCATCTGGGTGTCTAAAGGAGAAGATCCAAGTTGATAAAGAGAAACCCGATGAAAGTCAATGCTTCACATATTGCCTTGCTGCTTCTGAGAGAGTTGGGTATGTTGTGGGAAATATTCCTGGAGTGAAAGGACTTTATCTCTATAATTTGGATGGAACTCAGCGAACATTTGTTTACTTTCAGGTACATTTTCCCCTTGCGGCTCTGTCGCTCAGTCCGTCAGCGGACATCATCCTCAGTGAATGGGGAAGCGGGAGTGTCACCATTTTATCCGCCAAAGGAAGATTAAGATGGCGGGGCTCTAGTCCTGGCTGGAAACCAAATGGCACTTGTGTGGTAGAGGATGGAACAATATTTGTAGCTGACTATATCTGGGGAGGTCTGCGTGCGTACAATAAAAGTGGTGAGAGTGTTCTACAGTACAGAACCACATCTGACGGCTTGAAAAACCCCAAGTGCCTTGTTACTACTGACAAGGGTCTGCTATGTGTTGCGGGAAAGGATCGTGTATGTGTGTATGATATCCAAAGGAAATAACCATCTGTAAAATACTGAAACAGATAAAAACATTGGCCTATATTGACATTGTCTCCAGATGTGGCCTATCAGGATATTTCCAGCTTGTAATGTGCAAGAATTGTTTGTCTTGTTTGTTTGTTGTTTTACGCCGCACTCAGCAATATTCCAGCTATATGATGGCGGTCTGTAAATAATCGAGTCTGGACCAGACAAACCAGTGATGACATCATAAGCATCGATCCACGCAATTTGGGATACGATGACATGCGTCAACCAAGTCGGCGAGCCTGACCACCCGATCCCGTTAGTCGCCTCATACGACAAGCTTTATCTTTCATGTCATAAAAACTACAAAGACAGAAGTTCTCAACAAGCATTAAGTTTTCTATAAGAAATGACCCTTTATACTTGTTTCCATAGTTTTAAATTTGGACGAGGTCATGTGACATTTACACCAGGAAAGTAAACAAGCAGACGATAGGTGTGCCGTCGATTTACAACGTGTGAATTTATTACCATTGACATTTTATTGGGGCTAATAAAGTTACATTAGTGATCTAGGGTAAAAAAGAAGTTGCCTGCTGAATATGAGCTATAACTTACGTTTGGTAACTTGACACGAAGCATTTTGCGGTCCAAGCAAATGAAAGTGGTGTTGCCAGAATATCAAAGCCGCAGGTACCGTAATGTCTCGTTACATATCGCGAGAATTATCATTCAAAATGGCCGATCGAAGTTACATGTCGATAGAACTCGCGAATTAAACAATAATTGTCGCTGCCTGATATTATTTCCTTACTTGGTCCTGAAAGTCAGGTTATATAAGTAACCTTTAAATATAACCATCCTACTTTTTCAAAGTTGACTTCATGAATTTGGAAAAGTAAAAATGCATTCATTTACAGACAGATAGTTCGGTATGCACATTTGAACATCTAATATTCGTAATGTAAGGCGATAAGTTTACTGTTTTGTTGTTTGGCATGTTTACATTAAAACTTGTATTTAGCCCTGTTTCTGTATTAAATTACAGTATAATATTAACTATTGCTCAAAAGATGCAATAGGCACAAAAAAAGAGTAACACGGCACTGTAGCTCACCTGGATATGTGATCAACAGTCAACAGTCAACATTCAACAGACACTTTCCTAGCATGGTGATCTACCTTCAGCTGCTGACGACCTATAGCCCTTTTTATATTGCACTGTTACATATAGTGATATCTTTTTTTGGTTGTATGCTAGTTTTAAATATTAATCTGTGATATTGTAGTTATTTTACTGTCCATCGATGACAGTTTTAAAATAAATATAAATGTATGTATTCTTAATGTATAACTTCTCGTAACGATATGGCTGAAATACTGCCGGTGTGACGTTAAATATTAACTCACTCACTCAACAGACACTTTAACAAAAACTGCAGTCATCATTGCTGTTCAAATATGTTCTGCATAAATACCGAAGACAAAGACATTTAGATACATAAACAAGTAACTGAATTTCCAGTGAATCTGGGAAAATGAATGTATTATTGTAGAGCATGTTGCAATGCATAGTAGTTAAACCTTCTAATGAGAATGCCATACAAAGAACACTTAAATCCTAATGACTTAAACGGGGGCACGGGGGCACGGGTGGCCCAGTCGTCTAAGGCGCCGCGATTCGCTGTGCAGAGTTGCGTCCCTTGGGCACGCCAGAAACCTATGATTGTGGGATCGAATCCCGGTTCGCCCCAATTATGTTTCTAGGTTTGCCAGCACCATACCCGGCTCGTGGGTTTCACCGAAGTAGTAAACGTCTGAGACCTGCATCACTTCGGGCTTTCCTCCCACATTAAGCTGACACGCCGTGATATAACTGGAATAATGTTAATAGCTGCGTTAAACCCAACTCACTCACTCACTAATGATTTGAACAAAATGTGATGTCATCGTAAAATATGCCAAAATTCAGCTTTAACGGTTTGAATAAGTATGTGAAATTTCAGCTTTTTTGGTCTGGTCTAGCCTTTCAGCTAAATCTCAAACTTGTGAGAAAATGCCAACGAAAGTACAAATCAGCCCGTACTATGATGTATCATTGTTGATGGTAGCAAGTTTTCAGCTTCATTGGTCCACTCGCTTTAGGAACAACGGTTGGATGCCGCAGCCATGTAAGGAGGCCAACCCTGGTGAAGTGATCCAAGGGTCACGCTCTTGTGTCAACCAGCCCTCGCCCTGTCAGCCTTCCTACCCGAGTTTAGATTACACAACTCTACTTAATCGTACCGAGACCCAGCTAGAAGGGAAGTAGGTCAAATAAAGAAGAAGCGTTGTGTGCTGCACAATCACATGATCTGACTGGTAAAGGTCAAAATAGCTGTGAAACTATATGACTAGGCCACTGAAAATCAGTGATGACACCAGGTGTTCGCGAACAGTGTAACCATGTCCTGTCATACCTGTGCACCCGCCAGTCACACAATTTGCATAAAAAAAAGTAAATAATTGCCTGAGGCGGCACAACAGTACTCCTGCCACGCGGCAGCGGCCTTTGACCAAGCAAGTCATGGAGACCTAGAAAACACAGTGACTCCATAGTGAAACTAATAAAAAACGATAAGTTAATTTTGAATTACGTCTGCTGTGTACAAGTGCTGCTTTATAAGTAAAGAAAAAACGTTCAAGAAATATATTTATTTGCAACACAGTGGGGGGCAGTTTCAATTTTGGTCCTTCGGATATATCGACATGGTCAATTACCACTGATTGCCCCCCCCCCCCCCAACTAGATATAAGGGAGACCAGTGAGACCGCCTCGTCTGTTTCATGTTTAGATCCATGCATTAAGATTCAGAGTAACAACAAGTAACTGTCCCTTCAAGTCGGGCAGTATTCCCGCAGCTCCAGCCCTTTGTGTGACCACTGTGTGCTGTTATCAATCAGTCAATCGTCATCCAAGCACTGAAGAGGCCACAGGCCTATAGTACATATGTCAGAGGTGTTTCACGCAATTTTAACAATTATTTATAAATTTGGTTTATTAATTTATCTAGACTGTGCAACAATTGCCGGAATTTCACAATATTTGTTTCATTAAAGTAGTATACCGATTATATTTTGTTCTCCCAGTGGAGTACGATGGACATACAATAAATAATGGAATGAACATCGAAATCTTGCTAATGAAATACTGTATATCTTTATCTTTACGTAAAACAGATACTTTTTCCGAGTATATATGAGTTTTCAACATTCTATAACACGAACATGTGTTCGATAATGTCAACAGAAAAGACCACGATTGCAAATAAATATCGTTTAGCCTCTGTAGAAAAGAACTGATGAATACACTTTCAGATTGTTCAACCCAAACATTTCCAAAACCGCTATTGAATAATCATATTTTTCACATCAGTTACCCAGTTATTCTTTCCATTCGTGGGGCGGTCGGGTAGCCTAGTGGTTAAAGCGATCGCTCGTCACGCCGAAGACCCGGGTTCGATTCCCGACGTGGGTACAATGTGTGAAGCCCATTTCTGGTGTCCCCCGCCGTGATATTGCTGGAATATTGCTAAAAGCGGCGTAAAACCATACTCACTCACCCGCTTTCTATTCGTGTCATATAAAATCTTCACATTGTAACATTTCTTTTGGTTTCTCGATGAACCCATTTTAAGGAGTTTCAGACAGTACTTAATAACTTTTACCTGTGAATACATTCGCCATAAACCATTGCGCTAGATGTGTTGGTTTTTACACCAAAAAATATTTTACGTGAATACATGTGAACCTCTTCGTTATCATTGAATTGTTTAATCCCCATATTTCAGCACCGTAAAGTAAAAGTTGGTAAATTTTAACTTCTAAAAGCTTAAAGAATGACTTGTAACTTACATCACCAAGGATTTGTATATTCTTTAATACACGAAATGAAAACATTTTGTTATCACTGCTCTACACTGCTTGGCACAGACTGAATAAGTCTGCGGATGCTGTCCTGTGGAATTCTCCTCCATTCTTCCTGCAACTCCCTTGAAGTAGTGCAAGTGTCTGTGGCGTATGTTGAGGTTGACGTACACGTCTATTGAGTTCATCCCACAGATGCTCAATCGGGTTCAGATCCGGAGATCTGGAAGGCCATGGCAACACACTGACGTTTATATTTTGAAGGAAGACAACAGTTACACGAGCTGTGTGTGGTGTAGCGGTGTCATGTTGAAACAACTCCCTCTGTCGGTTGATAATCGAGAATTTAGTCGATGTACCGATTTGCCTTCAGATTCCCCTGAACCACTACCAAGTCAGATCCCCGTGTGTAGGCGCCTTCCCGAGGCAAGGGAGTTAACTGACTATAAAAGTCCAGTTTTCACCCTTGCCGAACTAGGCTGGAATTGTGGAGTTATATTTTGGCTGGACTAACGAGTCTGTGCATAGTTCAATCAAAATCGCCTAGCGGACTAGACATACGGTTCATAAACTACCTTGCAGATTTTGATCAATTGCAGGATTTGCAATGTAGGTGTACCGCCAACTCGGCGTCAACAGATATTTTCAAAATCTGTTTTTGAATAAGGTGCTCATGTGATTTGGTGGGCTTTGCGAAGTAAGATCCGTTTTATTACGATATAGATCTTGATTATCGATCAGATCGTCCTGGCGGGCATCGCCATTTTGTTTGAAGTAAATGCAAGTGATATAATAGGTAGAATCTGATTGGTCAATAGGAGGGACAAAGAAGGGACCTAACTTGGAATAGCCACTGGTGGCGCTACGATCGAGCCCAGAAATTTCCGCCTCATTCAGGTGGAATTTGGACTTTTAAAGTCAGTTAACTCCCTTGCCTCGGGAAGATGTGTGTAGGATATGGCACCCCACACCATCACACTTCTGGCACTGAATCTGTGGACCTGATCAAAGCAGTTCGGTGCAAAACTTTTATTTCGACGTCGGTAGATACGATGTTTCCCATCTCGGCACAGTTCGGTGCAAAACGTTCATGTCAACGTCCGTAGACACGCTGTCTCCCATCTCGGCGTAATTCGGTGTAAAACATTCATGTCGATGTCGGTAGACACGATGTTTCCCATCTCGGCACAGTTCGGTGCAAAACGTTCATGTCAACGTCCGTAGACACGCTGTCTCCCATCTCGGCGTAATTCGGTGTAAAACATTCATGTCGATGTCGGTAGACACAATGTTTCCCATCTCGGCACAGTTCGGTACAAAACGTTCATGTCGATGTTGGTAGACACGCTGTCTCCCATCTCGGCGTAATTCGGTGTAAAACATTCATGTCGATGTCGGTAGACACAATGTTTCCCATCTCGGCACAGTTCAGTACAAAACGTTCATGTCGATGTTGGTAGACACGCTGTCTCCCATCTCGGCGTAATTCGGTGTAAAACATTCATGTCGATGTCGGTAGACACAATGTTTCCCATCTCGGCACAGTTCGGTACAAAACGTTCATGTCGACGTTGGTAGACACGCTGTCTTCCATCTCTGCGTAGTTTGGTGCAAAACGTTCATGTCGACGTCGGTAGACACGTAGCCATCTTGTGCAGGGTTGGTGACTCTTGGTCCACCATTTCTCGGGCGATCTTGGGTTAAATTGAGGCAGATATACCGATCCCGTAAACGTTGGTGTACGTTAAAATAACGTGCAACTGCAGACTGGGACTCAAAACCTCAAGACATGTCACATGTCTTGTTAAACGCCAGCATTACAAATGAATCCCAGGGCCATGTGTCACTGCAAGATATAGGTCAGCATGGCTTTCCCACTGGACGTCGAGAGGAC